CATGCTTAAAATGCTTACTAGGCAGCAACATAAAATGAGAGAAGCTGCCTTTATGTCAGAGCATTGAGTGCAGTAATAAACCTTAATGGTCCTGACCAGTCCCAACTGGAGTCTCCACCTACACTCTCTGCTCATAGGCCCCGCAGCTTTATTTAAGCTCAGCCCTGGGCCATCAGTCTCCACCTGAACTGGTCTCCAGCCATGCCCATGCCCATGCCCATGCTCCTGCCCAACCTTGAGAAGAAACCTTCAAGACTACAATAGAGTTACTATTTGAAACCTGGAATTGTCAGCAGATTAGAACTGCTAGGCATACTACTGACACTATGCTTGCACATCAGTATATGAAAATTTAAAAGTGATATGTTTATAACATTTAAATAAAGCCGCATTTAATAGAAAATGCAGCAACTTTTTATTTTAGTTCCCCTTTAGGTTAAACTTTAAAAACACCTTTGTTTAGGTTTTTCTGTACGTATTTTGGATATAAGTTGACATAGACTACTTTCATGAAAACTGAATTTTAGTTGAATATGCCACTCAAGTGAAATATTTCTCATAACTGTACCTGATCTGGCTACACACTCTTTGGCAACTGTGTGTGTGACAGCATGATGTTTATTTTACAGCAAAGCAGCTGCAGCACTGGCCTGAGAATGGAGAAACAGGAGTTTAGCAGCTTTCCAGGACCTGGAATGAAAATTCTACCAGTAAATCAGGGAAATCATGTTCAGTGTATCTTCAGAAATAAACAAGTAATTCTCAGACTGAGTAGCATCTGTAGTCCAAAGTTACTATAAAGTCCTGCGCAAATACTGATGCCGGTTTCAGAGTAGTTCGTGAATGCAGCTAAGTAACTCTAAAGATGATAAAGATATCTTACGAAATAACGAGACCAAAGCTGAGAACGAAGGCAAGTCACACAAACAATGCCTCAAAGTGCAACAAAATCTGATTTGGGATACTATTTCAAACATGACTTTTTTTTTGTTTTTGAGAACTTTGAACTTGCAGTTAGGCCTCAACTCTTCACCTCAGATATAGACAGTTATGAAAATGACCCTTTAATACCATGTTTAAAGGTGCTTTTTGTACAGGTAAGGCATCAATTTATTTGTCCTTCCTTCTGATCGACTTTTAGGCATAGAGATGAATCATTAAATTGCTGAACTACACACCAACCAGCCTGACCACAGTCCCCAAGGCAGTTATAGCATAAATCCTGCTGGAAGCTTTACGTAGGGCAAGGACAGGATGGTGGCTGGGAGCAGCCGTCGCAGATTTATGAAGGCAAAATCATGTCTGACTAACCCAATCTCCTTCCATAAGGAGATGACCGGCTTAGGCAAGTGCAGCAAATGTTGTTTACCATAACTTTAGTAAGGCCTTTGACACGGTTTCTGTGGTGTTCACAGTATTATCATTAAAAGGCTGAGACATGCTTTGGTTAAATGGATTATAAAGTGAGTGGAAAATTGCCTGCACTATGAGGTTTGAAGGGTTGTGATCAATGGTATGAAGTCCAGCTGGAGCCTGGTTATTAGCGGCACTCCTCAGGAGTTGACATACAGTTGCTGATACTACTTAAAGCATCTGGGCATACATGATGGGACAGAGGGTCACACTGAAGTTTGAGGAGGACCCAAAAATCTGGGTGCGGGTGATTTGTAAGGCTGTTGTTTAAAGGAAACTCAACAGGCTGGAAAAATGGGCTGACTTCTGACAAAGTTCAACAAAGTCAAATGCAAAGTCATACAGCTGGTGACAGAGTAACGCCATGTAACAGCCCAGGCTGGAGCCAAATGGCAAGGCAGCAGATCTGCAGAAGAAGACCTGGGTTTCCGGTGGATGGCAAGTTGACCATGTGTCAGCAGACTTGCACTAGGAAAAGGTAAAGGGAAGTGATCCTTCCCTTCTATTCCAGCACTTGCGTGACCACATCTGGATACAGTTGGGACCTCCACTACAGGAAGGAGACTGACACACTGGAGCAAGTTCAGTCAAGGTCCACCAAGATATTCAGACCACAAAATATACAGAAGACCTGGGACCCTTCAGTCTTAAGAGCGTGGGAGGGGGGAAAATCTTATCACTATTATAACTTACCTCATAGAAATGCCTAGAAATGAGGGAGCCAAACTCTTCTTGCAGATGCATACTGACAGCATGAGAGACAACAGAAAGACGTTGCAAAAAATTGAATTTTAACTAGATATTGGGAGACATTTTTCACAATAGGTAGTCAAACATTGGACCAGGTTGCCCAGAGAGCTTGTGGGATGCCCATTGCCAAAGATGCTCAGAATTCAACTGGACAGTGTCCTGAGTAACCTTACCTAAGCTGGGCTTGCTTTGAGCAGGGGTTTAAACCAGAAAGTTTTCAGAGGTGGTTTCCAACCAAAATTACTCAATAGCTCTAAAAGTACGCAATAGATTTAAGAGAAATGTTGAGTCACAATCCCTGGAGATAGTTAAAAGATGTGTAGAAGTGGTGCTTAGGGACATGGTTTAGGGGTGGAATTGGCAGTGTTAGGTTAATGGTTGGACTCGATGATCTTACGGGTCTTTTCCAACCTAAATGATTCTATGATTCTTTGATTTTAAGTATGTAATCAGTGTCAAAACAACAAAACTAACTTTTCTTGAATGAATGAATGCACCAATACACGCTGGAGGCCACCCAGCTGAAAAACAGCTTGGCAGAAAAAGCCCTGGGCGTGCTTGTGGACACCAAATTGAACAGGAACCAGCAATGTGCCCTCGCTGCAAAGAAGGTTGATGGTATCCTGGGCTGCACTAGGCAAAGCATTGCCAGCATGTCGAGGGACATGATCCTTCCCCTCTGCTCAGCACCGGTGAGGCCACACCTGGAGTATGGTGTCCAGTTCTGGGCTCCCCAGTACAAGAGAGACAGGGACATACTGGAGTGTGTCCAATGAAGGGCCACCAAGATGAGTAAGGGATGGAGCACCTCTCCTGTGAGGAAAAGCTGAGAGAGCTGGGACTGTTCAGCCTGGAGAAGACAAGGCTGAGGGGGATTTTATCAAAATATATAAATACCTGTAGGGAGGATGCATAGAGGAGAGACCCAGGCTCTATGCAGTGGTGCCCAGTGATAGGACCAGAGGCAACAGACACAAAATGAAGCATAGGAGCTTTCCTCTGAACACCAGGAAACACTTTTTCACTGTGAGGGTGACCGAGCACTGGAACAGGTTGCCCAGAGAGCTTGTGGAGTCTCCATCTTCGGGAATATTCAAAAGCCGTCTGGACATGGTCCTGGGCAACCGGCTCTAGGTGTCCCTGCTTGAGCAGGGCGGCTGGACAAGATGACCTCCAATGTCCCTTCCTATCTCAATCATTCTGTGTGATTCTGTGTGTAAATTAAGATGTTTTAATGCATCCGAAAGACCTGGTAAGGAGTCCTTATAGAAAAAAACCAAAATACTTCTGTGAAAAAGAAACTCACTGTAAAAAGAAACAAGCTTCTCTGTACAGGAAATGCAACATATTGCCAAAGAAATGGAAAAATACTGGAGATAGAAAGAATGCAACATGGATGAGGATAGTTCCATTATATGCAAAATATCAAACAGTTCTGGGAACACAGACAATTCAACATTCACTGCAAAGGAAAAGTAGAAGAAGGTTTTGCAAAATCTCTCTCTAGGCTGTAAAATGCACTGCAAAGCTCTCAGTAGTCTTGTTTTGTATAATCTTGACACGTTACCATATGCAAGTCCTTACCTGTGTTATGAGCTCTGTGTCTCAACTTAAGTCTGTACATTTGTACACTAGTAACCATGCACATTACAGTCCCTGGAACAAACTAACTGTTCATGTAACTACACAGAACTATTAAAAAATATTAAGCATGTGTTTCAAAAATCAAGAACTGAGATGTCAAAATACTTTTACACCCTAAAATGCAAGAAACCTGCTAGTATCCAGTGATCTCTAGAAGTGCTGTGAGGACCTTTCCCGATTCTTCTATTTTAAGTCCAGTTGTGTGATGAACGTTATGAATGCACTCCATTGTACAACAAAGAACTGTATCATGAGGTAACATGAATAAAATGATACACCAACCATGGCAGTATACAAAAGCTTGTCAGAGATATGCCAGTTGCTAAACTTTTACAGGTAACACAGGGCTGTTTCAATTATCAACAGAGTATTTCCCTGATATGACACATTCCTCAAGGTACCTGCCTGCTAATATGCTTAAATTCTCACAGCATCCCTGCCTTCAGCATATATTTAAATTTGTATTTACATCTTCTTTATAGCATTAAAAAAATAGATAAAATCTTCTTCTTAAGGAATCTTTCCATAAAGTAATTTTAAGATACTTGAGGTTATTCATAGCTTTCCATTTCACCAGATGTACCAAAGCTGAGGAAGTTATATTTTATAGGACAGAGAGACATATTCTCCGTTTATATGCTCCTTTGGTTTGCTGACATTCTATTACCTACTATTTGAACCAGTATGAGAGAAATAGGAAGACCTTCTACAGTTTATTCTCTTTTATTATTTAAATCTTTCATAACTATACCTTCCTACAAATCCTAAAGTGCAAAAGAGCTTTCATCATCTACTACTAAAAATAAAACTTTCCCACAGAATTTATGATTACTGACATTAATCTATTTAATAAATAATGATGTTAATGATGAAACTCTTTTATCTCAATTATATACCCCATCATCAAAACATTTATTATTCCACATACAGGACTATCTTCTCATGTGGCTATATCATCCATAAGTTTTTTCTACATATTTTCAGAAAATGTATAATTTAAATTGAATTCCCAACATAAAATATGAATATTGGATTAATTATAAGTATCATATGTTGAAATTTTACATTTTCCAAAAATGTTTACACTGTGGAAAAGAAAAGGAAGTCTGTTCAGACATGGCCATGGAAGTGAGGAAAAGGAAAGTAAAGATGTACTTAATTTACACTTAAGAGACTTCAGCCTTTTTTCTTACCTGAGTACCCAAACAAGCAACCATCATGTGAGTGAGAAGTTTAGCTGCAAACATTGCACACCTGGTGCAGAAAAGGTGCGAGGCAATAGCCAAAGTGAAACCTACACAGAAACAACAACAACAAAAAAAAAGGGGAAATTTAAAGCTTAGGCTAATAAGCTATGCTAGGTAAGAACAACAATGCTGGATCTCTTGAAGGTGCAGATCATTAAAAAAAAAAAAAAACTCCAAACCTTACAGAGAGAATATGTTCACTTTGGTTCACACTGGGTTCACTCATTAATTTATTACTGAAGTACTAACATCTATTTAACTTTTTCATAGGCTTGGGAGCTAAAATAATCACATAACGTAAACAAGTCATTTTTGCAAAGTTTTTTTTTTTATTTCTGCATGATATAGATGATTGTCATAATAGTTAAATATAAAGCAAAGGTAACTCTTCAGTGTTCATATTACTGCATCCAAAAATGCTTTTAGAAACAAATAAATAAAAAATTGCCTCCAGCTGGGTAGCATTCTTTAGGAGATAGCTATAACCTTCTGAATGCCAGCCTCCCATTTCATCTGTGTTCAGCGCACAAATCTATTATAGCAGTACTCAGAAAGCGTAACACCACTTTTCGTTTCACTAATTCACTGTGAACATGAACAGAACAGAAATGGGAAGGGCTCCTTCCCTACCAGTAAGTAGTTCTTGGAAGAAGGACCCTGGGAAAGCTGAGCCACTAAGGAAAACACTGCTAAAGCTCAAGTAGCGTTAATCGTTTGTGCACTTCCACACCCCAGGAAGGGCAGGAATTTGGATGCTTAAGGCAGATCTTTTATTCTCTCTTGAGACAGACTGGTTGCTCAACTACTTGTAAGATATCAATTAAATAAATCATTGCAGAAAGAATTATTTCTAAACCTTTCAAAAATTAGCCAATGATATTTAGACAACTATACACAAGAAAACTTTGGAAATAATAACATTCACTCTTTGTTAATCACTGGATTTAACTAAATATAATCACATAAGGAAATGCCTTCAAACAGCCAACAAAGCTGAAAAGGCATTGCAGTTATATTCAAGGCAAACTATTAATCAGGCTAAACTGTTCTAATTTTTAAAATACATTCTTACAACACATGACTACAGTAAATGAATAGTGCTGAACAACAACCTGCAGGTCTTTATTGCTTCCAGTTCAGCAAAATATTTCTCTCAGTTTCAGAGAGAGAATATTTCCTCAATATTTCCTCAGCATATTGGCTTACTTCGTATTGGTTTTTTCTTCAGTTTCTATAACATTTTGCATTCCATGGCATATGTCTCATGAATTTACTTTTTTTTCCGTAAACCAGTAATTGCATTTGTTTATTACAGCTTCTCTTTTTCTTTTTACTTTCACTAACACAATCTAAAGTTAGAAGCTTAACTGTATTTTAAAATCTGCTTATTTTTATCTGCCAAAAAATTCTTTCATTATCGTTAAATAAAAAAAATCAGTTTGTATGAAGTAGGTGAAAACCAGTGTGTTTTCTTCTCTGCCTTCTTTTTCATGGCTGAGGTTTTAAAACAATTAAGGAGCCTAGCTTTAGTCTGTTAGGGCAGTTTGTTGGAAGGGATATATAGGGGATTTCGCCTCTTGCACTGTTTTTGTTACTCATACATAGAATTTTCATACAATCATAGAATCGTTTAGGTTGGAAAAGACCTTTAAGATCATCAAGTCCAACTGTTAACCTAGCACTGCCAAGTCCACCCCTAAACCATGTCCCTAAGCACCATGTCTACACATCTTTTAAATACCTCCAGGGATGGTG